GCTACTGGCGCATGTAGGCGTGGTAGGGCGGTCGGCACAAGGCTCCATAGCACGGTCGGCAGCTGCTGTGGGTGGAGAGCTACATCCGTTGCTGCTGGTGACAACGGGACTCGTAGCGCGTTCATGACTTCTTGTTCGTTGGCGTGGAGATGAGGTCTCCTGTTCAGTCAAATTATTGACCGCCAGATGGGGCGCAAGGGATTCGTTCGTGGATCGAGTAGCCTGCGATCTATCCACAGTGGACGCGGAAGAGTCACTACTGCAGCGTGGGGGAAAGGTGGTAGGGCGGCCTGGGTCAGGCTGTACAGCCGGGTCGGCAGCTGCTGTGGGGCGTGGAGAGACGGGGGTGGTGGTGGCGACAGAGGGCTTCGCAGTGTGTACATGACTGCCTCGACTTGACCGATGCTTTGCACGAGCGGGCGATGTACGTGGAGATGAGTCGCCGTTGCTTATCGTGGCTGGACGCTTGCCACTGTCGCTGCGGCCGACATCTATCTCTTCTGCTGCAGAATAGTTCTCAGTAACCGCCTGCATCACGCTCGATGGCCCGAAGGATGTCTTCCCAGCAGAGCTTCGATGTCCACTCAAAGATGCTGCAGTAGATCGTGCTGCATTCTGGGCGTAAACTTTCGAGATCCCTCTCAATGGAGCCGGAATCTTCGATGCATGTCCTTGCGCATTCGAAAGTTTCTTCTTTGCCTCCAAAATACGCCTCGTCGATGCGTGATCTTGTCCAGGGATAGTCACCGGCTTGGCAGCAGAGCCGAAGCAGCGTGTACACGACATGTGGTGCGCCGTTGCATTGTTTGTAGTGCTTTTAGCTGTCGAAGTTGCTTTCGGTACAGTGGCCGAGCTCCGAGAAGCAGGCACTGGATCGGCCAACACATGAGCAGTGCTTGTCGAGGGGTGTGTGGTTTCGATCTGTGGAGGTACATTGTCGCCGGCGCCAGCGACTGTGGGGTGCCTGACCTTGAAGTTGAGCAGAGGCACGTCAACACAGTCGAGGACTGTGCGTTTACGCTTGGATGTTGACGTTACGCCATCTGGCACCACCTCAGATGGCAGCTCGATTGGACAGAGAGGCGGGCTGTCGAGGACCGTCAGCGGCGAGAGTGGGGGTAATTCGGACATGTAGTTGTTGCAAGTAATCGTATTCGCAGGCTGTCTATACTTATATAAGTTATCAATATAAAATGTCAACAACGTTTTAACGCCTGCATAACTGAATTTCCACGCCTTGAGGCATTAGCGCCAGAACAACATTAGTATTGATAGACCCTTCGGATCGACGGTGTGCTCCATATCCAGAGCCCTACACCATCGGTGGCATCGACGTTGTGAACTCCATTCAAGGACAGCGAGAGAGGACATTCGCCCGCATCCGTAATGAGTTCCTAGGCGGCGCCTATGCACTCAAATGCAACAGCCGCGCCAATGTTCATGTGCCGGAAAACTCGACTTTCCCACCACTGACAAGTAGACTCTCCGATCTCCGAGCCCTGCAACATCTGTCCATCCGAAGTTTCAGCGAACGGTACCGCGTCAAGTACTGGAGCTTACATTGTTTTGTGAGATCACGATGAACTCGGTAACGTGAGCAACGTACACACCATGCGCACCGATCGTCCTCCGCAGCGCCCAACCTGACTTGCGATACGGAGCCCATCCAGTACCCAAACGTACGCGGTTCTGCCCCACGACAACAAGCATGACGATTATGATGAACATGGTTGTTGTCGCGTATGTGAGAGCTCGTCGTTGTTTGCGATATTGAGGGAGAGCGGGGCACTGCTTTAAGTCGGGAGGTCGAGGTGTACGATGCGACGGTTCTGAATGAGAATAGTGAGTCTTCGCGAGATAAGAAATAATAGAGAAACCGGCTACCCTCCACAGACGTTACACATCCCAGTCCCTTCAAGGTTCTCGAAAGCGCACCCCACCGAATCTCCGTCTATGTCCGTGTGTACGCGTACCAGTATTCGGGTCGTTGAGGTATAGACCTGGCGCCATTAAGATCTAACCTTCTCGAGTTCCAGCCAAAGGTTCGCCTCGATTGTGAATGGCTGGAGATGTGTGGTGAGGTAAAGATGGTGGTGAGGTAGACTGCAGACGTGAGAGAGGGTGAGCGAGAATCCGAGAAGAGAATGGACACCCACGTAAAGGGACAAGAGCGGTGAGTTTAAAATATCAGCGAGGATTCTCGTTTTGCTACTCATACATCCAACCTGGCCTCCGCAGATACAGAAACACCGCATCACCGATTGACAGGCTCCTCCGATGTCCAGCGCGAGAAACACCACTTTCCCACGGCTTGTGCCACAGCAGTACCAAAGGCGAGTTTCACGTCGACCAGCGTTCCTGGATGCGTAGTTTGAACCATTAGCCCCAAACTTCAAGCTTCAAGCCCAAGTGGCCTCAAGCAGGAAAGTTGGCGTCTGGAACGCGACTTTTATGACAGTTGATAGGGGGAGCTATGTAGAAGAGAACATGGCGAAGACGGTGGAGGCGGAGGATGCCCCCGAGGAAAGGCAGCCAGTGTGCCCTGCTCCCTGGGCTCCGACGTGAACCCATGTGACGAGAGTTGTGGGTTCAATGAAAGCACATGGACTTCGGCAAACGCCGAGCGCACAAGTTCAAGATCTGGCTGACTCTCAAGATACGGAACAGCAGTTCCTTCATGGCCGTGTGGCGAAATGGCATCGCGTCTGACTACGATACAGTGTATCAGGAGATTGCAGGTTCGACCCCTGTCTCGGTCAATAGGGGCACTCAAATGGTATTTTGCATTTTATGAATGGGAACTGAAGCTAAATATCATGGAGATCCATCCATGTTCCGAATCATTAATCAATACTTGAAAGTGCTGAACGCAACAGCCTGCAACAACGCTATCACTCTACCGAGCTCGAGCTCTGGACTGCTCCTCATAAAATGACTTCAGAGATCAGTCTGTTGGTGTTACAGATCCGGAACAAAAAGCAATACACCTCCAACTGTATGTGCGAGCAGGGTATCAATGAGCGTACACGAGACATTGGAACATGTATGAAATGGCGCACACCTCTACTCTACAAACTGCTAAAAATCCCACCACCTCACCCACTCGTGTGTACACCAAGCACACACATCCCTAAATATAGAAGCTGATTTTCCCTCCATGTACACCGCTACTTTCTCGGGTCCAATTGTTCGAGAACCAAGACTGGCCCAGCTCGCGACGACTGCGGGCACCAAGCTGGTCTTGGATGGTGCCAAGGATGCGTGTACGGTCAAAGTTATTGGGTTCATAAAGTACGAAGGAAAGCCGGACGACGGTACCAACACCAGGGCCAAATCGACGTTCAAATTGAGGTCAGAAGGGGCGAGATCAACGATGACGTCCCCGAGACCCATCATTTTGAGGCGTTAACTGGGAATCGTTTCGGGAATACGTACAAGGTCCCCTCACAACGAATCGAGATATTTGATCAGCGACGCAGCACTAGCCTCGGCGGATAGACTGCCGTCAACCTGGCAGGCTTTTCACGGATGCCCAGCGCGGCATCAACGCCTTCCACCCAACAGCCACTGACAAAGTCCGAGGGACTTCTTTGATTAGATCAAGTATTGCGACGACGAGAGATTTGGATACACGGTCTGGATCACCGCGGGCTTCATTGATATTTATGAAGCGGACATAGCGACGGAATCAATGACACTTCCAAGCCTAGGTCGGCGAATTGGGAGCCCGCAGAAGACGAGCAGGTCATGCGTAGTTAAGGTGAGAGCTTTGAAGGTGACAGCGGCAAGCGCGAGGCGTACAAAGGGTGCAGAGGGATTGCAGTGCGAGGTGAACGTTCAAGGCTCCAACCCGACTTATGTTCCTCCTCCTCGAAATTTGTTCATCTACGCTGGATAGGTCTGCGGAACAACTACTTATCTGTTTTGCTTGCAGAGACAGGGCCGGTGTTCTCTGGATCTCTCGGTCACAGCATCATTCTGCAGGGCATCTACAAAAAAGTCGTTCCCAGACATGGGACTAGAACCAGATATGACTTATTTCTGGCCAGGTATTGCTTTATTTATGTCAGGAATGGCCCATTCCTGGCCACATACATGGTTCTAGTCCTATTTCAGGTCAGATATGGGACTGACTTTTTTGTAGATGGGGAATACCTACTCATTAGTCTCATATATACCGCCCGATGCGCCGACGCGAGTTGAATAAAAACATTTAAATCTCATTACGAGTATGATTACCTTGCACCTAAACTTCAACCCTCATTTCGAAATCTCATGAGACTCAGAGACCTAGCCTAAAGGTGCGTCAATGGTAGAGCCAATCTGACATTCCTGACACGCTTGTCGCCCTCCAGAGCTCGTGATATTTTTGTTGGCAGCAAATATCAATCGCAAGTATCTCAGGTATTGAAGCGAGTTCTCCAGGATCAGGGCACCCCATGCATAGCAGAAGTTGATCGCACCATTGACATTAACAGCTCTTCTTCAAGTTCGCCCGCAGTCAAAGCCTATATCACCCTTCCCCACTATTACTTTATACGACGAAGGCAAAAATAACGTTAAGTTGGCACTGCTTCAGTAAAGTGTCCTTGAAACTGACTCATTAAATTTAAGACACCTCAATTTTCGCAAATTGAGCAATATAAAGAGGTTCGATAATCACTGTTACTCGAACGAGAACTGAAGGACTTGACTCTGGACCCTACAATTACTCCGAGATTGAAGGAATGGGAGAGCGACAGGGCTGCAAGATTAGACTACATGGTGCGCTTTCGTCGAAGGCTTTACAATCGTTTGTTGATTTTTTACTCTCATTAATATTTCAGGATCAATTTAATGTGCTAGGTCAAAAGGCAGGTACGTATGTGTACTTTTCACGGTCGAGCTGTAGTTTCCTGACCAACAAAAGAGAGCCAGTATTCTGTCTTTGCTTGCTCCGTATTGTCTGAATTATACAACATCAAAATCACAGTACAAAAGTCCAACCGCCACACTTTGATTTTACACCGGCCAAAACTAACGATAGGACCAGCCCATCGATGCCGAACGAGTTAGTACATAGAGGCACATAGTGCTCTAATATGCAACAGGACTACGGTTTGAATAGTCTGCGCTTTTTTCTATCAAGGTGTTCACAGAAATGGCCACCGTGTCGGAGCGGCTCCCCTGACCGTATCGGTTATCACAGCTCACATCATTTCAAAAAAGTTGTGGACTCACCTTCTCTAATGACGCCTGCGTGGCTTGTGTAGTGTTGCCACGGCTCTCGAATCTTGTACTGCGTCCGAGTCCTGACACTTGTGATAGATGAATTGAAAGAGGCTCATCGGTAGACCGGCGAAGATCGTCTCGCGCATTTAAACTGAAGCAATCATCGGAATTAGCTTCACGAAAGGGAGAAAGCCTCATATTTTGGCCAAAGCAGTCGGTACTTACGTTGCAAGATATGCGTTGAGGTACACTGGAATGGTTGCATTAATAAGTTTGATAATCTCATGATGAGGAGAACCTTACGTTTGCTCAGAAGCAGGTAGAATCCTAGGAATGAGTAAGCGACCAAAGTTCCGTACATGATCATCCTTGGAACCCACCTAGGAATATGAAGTTGCTGGGCATGACAGCATATGTGATCATTCCGAGGGCTGCATCGATGCTAAGGGAAAGAAAGGTAAGAATCGCCACTGGAGATCGAATGGATGGAGCTCGATATACCCGACAATTAACCCAGTATTGACGGTATACATCATGAGGGTATTTATCAATGTGTCGGTCCTATTCAAATATGATTGAATCTCAGGAAATATCGATGACACAGGCAACGTGAGTGTGTACCTTCGGAAACCTGTTCTTGACTTTACGAGTAGCCAAGACAAAGCAAGGGCAACACTGAGATCGCTAGCAGTACCAGCTGCAAAGTTAAGATATAGCAAAGTCTGATAACGTTCATTAGGTCAGGTGGACGCAAGCGTAAAAAGATTCAAATTACACACCGAAAGTTTGTCCAATTCGGCATAGTAGACTATATTGAAGCTGTGCAGTGGGAATAAGTAAATCATCCAGTGCTGAGATAGAGGAATCATGACGAACGCTTTGGCGGTGATTACTATGATATGCATGTGTAAACCAATAGTTGGCAATCTTTTACGAAGAGGCAAGGCGCACCAATTCCACACACTATTCGTCATCGGTCCAAGTTAACAATTTTACAACACTAGGGAAGCCCATAGACATACCAAGGTCGGTCGTGGACACCGCCATCTGTGATACTATTGAACAAATCAGGATAGCGATAGGTATAAATAGAACTTACAATCCATGTTGTTACAACAAGGTTTCCATTGCTTACTGTGGATAAGAAAGGCAGTGACTTGTTAAATATTTTGCGTCACCGAAGATCCCATGCTTACATCGGTAGTATCGCCGCGCGAACATACTTCGGATGAGGAAGTTGGAGATTGACTGGAGAAGGTCTTAGTCAACGGATAATACACGGGAAGTGTCAAGGAACACTGACTGTGATCGCAACATGAATCTATCGCATGGGTCAGAAGTCAGAAGATGCATATATATATAAACTGTATTCAAGCTCACTATGACGCTCCTAAACGATGATGCAGTTGTTGAAGAAGTAATATTTTTAAATGGGGAAGAGGCATACCAAACGGGCTTCGCAATGGCCACAGGATTGAGATAGTTTGAAACCAGATAAAAGTAAAGAATGTGGCAATTCAACGCGGAGTCGAACGTATCTAGTCCCCTGGACAAGCGAGATAGTGAGCTTAGCGAAAGACGACCACTTGCAAGACTTACCACAGAAACGCGATCTAATGAAGGTGGGAATGAGCTTCATGACGACGCATATTACTCCGAAGATCCATACCAATGCTTTTTGCAATGGTCCATCCCTGGAATTATGTGAAAAGAATGTGAAAGCTTGCGAACACGTAATGCCCCATAATCTAGCGAGCAATAATAAGCACAAGCAATCAGCGACGGGCGCGTCAGGGCGGATGACTCAGTCACTCACCCCATGGACAGAAGGCCACCAATGAGGATGGCTCCAAGAGTATTGTCGAACGCAGGAAGGGCTGTTTCGGACATGGATGGAGAATGGGAAGGGGTTCGGGTAAGAAGGGAGTAGGGCGTCCCTGTTATAAAACAACTCCAGAGGGTATAAATATGCTCCTTTTTGTTCAGAAGCGCAGCGTAATTTTAGGGGCCTTCTAGATCAGTGACACACAGACAGGACTTGGTGGAACTCACGGCGTATGGACCCTATATTGAACTTTTGACATGTCGAGGTCGCAATTGGAGCTTTTCACAAGGGTTCCAGTCGGCTAGATTATGGCCTCTCATTGGGCATACAGGCTTTTACCGACCGCCGGCCACACCGCAAAGTGATGAACGGCTTGGCTTCCAAGTCAAGTCAAACTTAGTGGTCTAGATAGCTTTCCTAACAGAGTCATTGACATGCTTTATTGAAAGGAGGGATTGACGTTAACAAGAACACGGATGCCGGAATCATCGCCTTCTTCAAAAGCAGGCCAGGCGTGGGTATCAGTCGGGGAAAAGACGGCAAAAAACGAAGTTGCCTAACTGATGCATCATGCGCTCATATGAGTGTATAGGTCCAAAGTACACATGACCCTGTACCACAAACATTGGAAACACCACAAAAAAATCATAATGAAAACAGCAAACAAGTGATAGTGGCTCCAGGTGGGTAAAAAGAAGGTGATGCAGCACAACAAGTATCATA